GCGGGACTCGATCCTGGGACTCCAGGATCATGACCTGAGCCGAAGGCAGTCGCTTAACCAACTGAGCCACCCAGGCGCCCCCTTCTCCGTACTTCTCTGAAGAATCCAAGGTTGTGTATTTTCAAGCTAGAACACTCTTAAGACCCAAATCATTCCAGGTTATACGCATTCCTTGCAAACTAAATATACGAAAATCTGCATCTATATGAAAGAAACGGGAGGGTATTTATATTTTTTTACATTAGATTCCTCATAGGGTTCTTTTATGCATTTGTATACATTTAAAATAATTCAATAGAGGGGCACCTGACTGGCTGACGGAGAGAGAAAGGAGAAGCAGGCTTCCCACTGAGCAGGGAGCCTGACGTGGGACTCAATCCCAGGACCCTGGGATCATGACCTGAGCCAAAGGCAGACGCTTAACCGACTGAGCCACCCAGGCGCCCCAGTAATGCATTTATGAAGATGGACCCACCCACACTTGTTCAGTTCCACTCTTAACACCAGATATTCAATAGCCACCTCCACAGGATCCACAAGGGGAGGTTGGAGTCCATCTTCTTAGCATGTCTGTGAGTCCTCCATGTTGTGTACTGGCCGACTGTCCATGATCATTTCACCATGTGAGCACCCCTCAATGCATACACACTCGTGTGTACCCACTCTACTTTCTCTTTTAACTTTGGTTATGGACTCTTGGCTGCTTTTCTACTTTTTTCCAATGCCCTTCACTGTATTTTCAGTCGAAATCTATTCTTCCTTGGCCACCCTGTAATTTAATCTTGAGATAATTTTGTCTTTTTAAATTTTTTACAGCTTGCTGAAGGTTTTCTTTTTGTTTCATTTTTGTTCTGACATTTGGAAAGGTTTCTTAAAGATTTTATTTGAAAGAGAGAGGGAGTGAGTGTGGGCGTGTGCACATGCAGCAGGGGGAGGGCAGAGGGAGAAGCAGACTCCCCACTGAGCAGGGAGCCCGTGGGGCTCGATCCCAGGACCCTGGGATCATGACCTGAGCCAAAGGCAGACGCTTAACCAACTGAGCCACCCAGGTGTCCCTGATATTTTGAGTTTTTAAGTTCCAGTGTTAAGTTTAATTTCTGCAAAGTCCTGTTTAAGGGTATTTGATTCAGGGTAGTTCTTGTTGCAGTTCTCTTCTGCCTTTTCGTTGAGGGGAGACTTTTCATCAGCTGTAAACGATTCTCATTTTGTTTTCTAATGGCAGTGTTTATAGATGTTGTCTTCCTTTTTCTGCTCATTTTGAAAGGCATTCTTTTCTTGACTTGCAGAAACAGTTGGTTCTATCCAGGCAGAGAGGAGGGGTTTGCGTGGCTTACTGGAGTTGATTCACTAGTGTTCTGTTGGTACAGGGAAATGCAGTATTCCCCCGAGAGAACACTTTTATTTTGAGCTGGGAGGGGTTGTTCTCTTCTGATTCTGTGATATTTTCCATCCCTGTGAGACCCTTGCTTCCTTCTTGCACTTTACCATCAAGTCTCCAGGAGACCTCTACCCCTTCTCCCAGAAATGGTACCTTCCCCAAACAGCCACCTTCAATCTCGTGAACTTTCAAACTTCTTCCTCGATGACCCAGTGGTCCGTGCTCTGCTGAACCAGGGTCAGATTTATCAAAACAGATCTTCCTCGACTTACAACTGAATGAACCCATGGTAAGCTGAAGATGCCCTTAATACACTAACCTACTGAACATCACAGCTCAGCCCAGCTGACCTTGAGCGTGCTCAGAACACGGAGGTTGGCCTACAGTTGGGCAAAGTCATCTAACACATAGCCTGTTTAATAATAAAGTGATGCACAGCTCATGTAATCGCCTGGATACTGCACTGGAAGTGAAAAGCAAGAGTGGCGGTTGGGGCACAGAACGGTGGGAAGTGGGTCGGTTGTTGACCCTCGTGGTCACGTGCCTGCCTCGGAGCTGAGGCCACTGCCGTCACCCAGCATCACGAGCGAGTATGTACCACGCGATCCGTGGCCTGGTAAAAGATCCGAACTCAAAATTCCAAGTACAGTTTCTACTGAGTGCATATTGCTTTTGCACCACTGTAAAGTTGACAAATCGTTGAGTCAGCCATCGTCAGTCGGAGACTGTATTTCCATCACTTGTGGTGGGGTCCCTGCCTCCCCCCCACCCGCCCCCCGCTGTGTACTGCCACCACCAGGCCCCTGTTTCCCTGGTCCCTTTATCTTATAGCTTCCACCTGACTCTGCCTTCACGTGGGTCCTGATGCTGGCCTCGGAGGCTTAGTTCTCTGCTTTCCTGCAGGTTGAACTTCTGTGTCTCACGGTTATGCTTCGGGCATGCGTTCTAGGTGACTTACTCGGTTCTCCTTATCTGCATGTGTTGGGAAGATTATGAAAGAGATTCAGATTTAGGCGGCTGCCGATATTTCTTGGAAAACCAGAAGCTCAAGTACCTCCCCTTAGACACGAACACCCAGCAAGAATAACCAGACGTGTGAGCAAAACCTCTAATATGAAAGAGAAAAATTAAAATGAACACAAAGCAAGGTTAAATACTGTATCTATTAAGCAGAACTGGTTCTTATATACTAAAAAAAAAAAAAAAAATTAGAACAAAAGAGAGCTCCTGAAAATTAAAACCTGGTAATAGACATGAAACCCTCGCTGGCAAAACTGGAAAAGAGACATAAAAAAACGTAAAGGACAAAGACACACAGTAACTAAGAGCAAGAGGCACAACCCAGTAGATGCAGTGTCTGGACCATGGGAGGTCCAGAAAGAGCAAGAGAATGGAGGGGGGACATAATTAATGTAATCGTTTAAGAAAATGTCCCCACACGTAGGGCATGAATTTACAGACCACATGCCTACCACACTAAAGAACACTGGAAAACTACAGAGCTCCAGGGACAGACAGTAACTCCACGAGCTTCCACAGAGAAAAAGCAGGCTCCATCTAAAGAGTCAGGCATAGGAATGGCTTTAGATTTCTTCCCCTGAGCACAAATTTTAACTCTTAAGTGACTCTTCAGGTTTAGTTGCCTGATTAGTTCTCAGTAACATAATCACATTGCCACACGTTGGACTTCCCGGGTGAAAGCTTATCTGCTAACCGGCTCCCCACATGAAAAATAAGAATGTAGGGCCCTGTCCAGCCCCCCAGCCCGTCCCCACCCCCCCAAGTGGACAGCACACTTCCCATCCCCCATCTTCCTCATGTAATTCCACTGTAACTTAGATCAGGTTGATAGTTCAGACTACTGGTGGTATTCAGAGCTGGGACGCAGAGTAAATTGTGATGACTTTTCATCCACAATTTGCTTGTATCCTCATGTCCTGATTTTCCTACTTTTCCTGTGGCTTCTAGCCCTTAGCAGTCTGGAGCAGTTGTCTCCCTGCCTGCCTGCTAGGCAGCCGTCTTCCTGAGGTCTCCTTTCCCCATTGTTCTGGAGACCCCCTCCACCACTCTGCTGGGTCTCCTGTTTCCTGGATCCCTTATCTTCCCCTTTCTCGGCTGACTTCCTCAATCTGGGGTAGCATGTCCTTCACATGCCTTCCTGCGAAAGGGTATGTGGGTGGTAAATTTTTCAAGACCTGTGTCTTTGTTTTACCCTCACACTCCATTAGTAACTTGCCCGAGCTTAGCACTCTCGTTTGGAAAGCATTTTCCTTCAGCATTTTGAAGGCATTGCACCTCACTGGCTCTAGGTAGGCCCTTCATGTCATTTGTCCAATGGTTTATCCTTGGGCACTTGCCGTATTTCAGGTGAAATTTACTTGCTGGTGATAAGGAAAAGAATCTGCATTAAAACCAACAGCAGAGTGGGGGGAATGGATTCCCAACCTTGGATGTCCAAAGAACGATCCTGAAGCGGTAGAGTCTGGGCATCTCCTCGTGAGTGTTTGTACGTGAACTGAAAACCTCCAGTCCACGAGGACGTGATTAACCATACGGTGTAAATATTTACCACGGTGGTCTATGGCCACCACAGAGTCCTCACGCTTGGGCCACGCACACCTCGGAAATAATCTGTACTTCATTTAGGTCTCACACGGCTCGGCAGGTGTTTGTTTTCAGATGAGAAAGGCTCCAATGGTCACATAATTAAGTGACTGGGCCAGAACTAAACAGAGATTTGTCAGTCCTGTGCTCTTTTTACAACACGACCTAATTTAATTAGTCTTCATCTCTGACTTATTTGCCCTCTCCTTTAATCCACCCCACTATATTTCAGTACATTTTCCCAAATGCCCCACGATAGGCTAGAACATAACAAAACCACCACACTAAAGTTCTTTAGGTAAGAGATAAATGAACATGTACACTGATCTCACATTACAAGAGCGCTTATATTTTAGTCTCTGACCATAACCACACGAATTAAACTTTTGTGCATACACACACAGGACACCTGTGACAATTACAGATCTATGCCTAATGCCCCTTCCTGTTTGCTGCAGAGGGGTGACACAGATATACTCAACAGCACTGGTGTTAGAGTAATTTTTAAAAATTCTATTGAAAGGGCAAGAATCCAAATGTTGAGAATCTAAACAAAGAGCTCATGGATCCCGTGAACAGGCCAATTACCCCTGGGATGTTTCTAAAATTGTTAGACTCCTATGGTGACTGTTCTCTCTCTCTCCCTTGTTATCATTTATAAAAAGCAATACCAAATGTTCTGGACTAAGCCAGAGATGTGTGATAGAAAAGCACTTTATCTGATGGAAGGGCCCATTAAGAAAGTCAGTGTATGATAAAGGATTTAAAAAAAAAAAAAGACGGCTGGAAATAACAACCATAAGTTTTTCAAGATCATTTATACATCTTTTTAATTAGATTAGCTTTACAAGCAACTTGAGAGCTCTTTCATAATGAAACACTGCTTTTCAAATTACATGACTTTACCGTCTGTGTATGAATCCTGAAATTCTTTGCCTGCTGTTGATAAAGGTCTGTGTTTTACAGCTGGTTAATGTGTTGAATGAAAAACAGCATTAGAAGCTTTATCTTTAACCAGGATTAAACACATATAGGCCACGAGTAGTTTTAAATTTTGTTTTAAATAGAGTCCTGCTTGGTGACAAGTTAACAGTCCCACTAACATGAAACGAACAGATTTTAAATGGATACTAAAGAAATGGCTATCCTGGATTTCCTGATCCTTTCACAATCATCTCCAAGAAATCTGTTACAATTTTCTGAAAAATACAAATTTTAAGACCTGCCTGGAAAGCACACGCACAGACAGTAGAATCTGACACTTTGCACAACTGCAGAGATACACATGTGAATGACACAGGGGTTCCCAGAAGGAAAGGCTGTTGCAGTCCCACCTTGACAACCACACGAACCGCACCCCCCCAACAGAAGACAACTTCTACTAGACCTAAAAACGACAGCGCTTTTGAGTGGGGGCCCAGCGCAGCACGCCGCACCGCAGACCAGAGGGCAGAGACACCTTGCATCCCCAGGTCCGGCCGGCAGAGGCACTGACTAGAGAGAGGTTTACATTGCATTGTCTGGAACACAGAAGAGGAAGGAGAACAAAACCGAGCACGGGCAGGAAAGACAACAATAAACTCGAATTTTCTCCCGCAAGTTCTCCTAAGTGAGTTCACGATACTGAATCTTTCATCCCGCCCTAAGTCCACGCTGTCGGTTTCACTAAACAATTTTTTTTTTCATGTTTTACATGAACAATAGCAATCTTTTAATAAAAATTACTGAGCTTTCCATAGAAAAGGTCTCTAATTGAATACGAACTATACAGATGCTAAAACTGTCATGAGTTGAAATATACAGAAGTATTTCTGTACACACATTTTGGCAAAGATCAAGGACAGAGACAGAAAACTGAAGTGGGCAAGGTCTAGACCCATAATTCATGCTAAACATGGATACCACCCTTTGGGCTCTGCTAGAGGTCAGCCCAGGAAAACAAAGTCCTAGACATCCTTCCCAGTTCATACATCAAAAAACAGAAGTCTGGGAGGCCTTGTGTGATAATGTAATAGTCCCTCTTTTTTCTGAAAAGTAAAAGAAAAGTCACAAAACAGAATAGAATAATAAAGCTACCTGGTTTTCCGCTTCTTTTGTATTTTTAAGCTAAACATCCAGCTTTCAGTACTGACAAAGAGGTGAGCATCGCGCCTGAGGAATGCCTGCCCTGGCTCGGCTCCGAGGATTCGCTAACATTCGGTCTATACTAACGCGGCTCAGCCCCAGCGCTCAGTCTCCCCCTGAAGCTAGCCAACAGAAGCCAGGTTCTCCACTGCAGACCACGTGCGTCACAGGAGTAGGAAGAAAACGTAACAGCAAAATTGGAAGTACGATCAACTTGACAGGAAGCAAAAGGAAAAGTCTTAGGAAGGGGACGTTGTCACCTTCTACATCTACAGGATATACCTGAAAGCATGAGAGAGCCCTTTGTCTTGGGAACTTGATGCTGAGGACAAACTCAAGTTCATTTAGTGCCAGTCACTTTAGTCTTTTAAAAATACTAACTTAAAAGAATAAAACCTGGGTATTTTTTTCTTATAAAACATGAACCAAAAGTTACTGGTAGTAAACGGTGATGGTTTTACTGTTAATGTTTTGTTATGAACAATGTCAAAAACAGGACAGCAGCAATCTTTAAGAGCTCAAATTAGTGTAAAAGACAGGACTACAAAACAATCTGAGTTTTAAGTTGGCGATTAAAGTGCTCCTTTTCTTATGGTAAGTAAAAAGGAAATGAAAGTAATCATCAGTCACTGGCAACAATCATGATAAGAGGTCTTTTTTAGGGCAAAATTTAATAGTACGAAGAAGTTTACAAAAATAGATTGATGCTATTTGGGGGAGTAATACTGTAATTTTTTGTCAATTCAGTTTTGATGTATTGTACCTGATCATACAAAAATTACTTCAAATTCAAACTTACTATATAAAAAAGGGAGAGATGAAATGAACTCATCTAGATGACAGATCTGGCAAAATATAAGAATGAAAAACTTCTACCTAGGGCACTTATTTCATGTCCAGATGTCAACCCCATTTTCTGCTGGTAGCTTATATTCTTCCCATGAGCAATCACAGGTTTGGAGTCAATCATGCAGTACAAAGTCACACAGTCAAAATCTTCTTTCTGATGCAACATGACAAAGTTGTTTGTTTCCTTATAAAAATGCCAACTGGTTGTCTATTTTTCTTTATCCCATTTATTCGTATTCACAAGTTAACAAAGAGCTTGCAATTATTGTAGGTGAAGTGGGGTATTGCTGGATCAAAGGCTCTATAAGACGTCTTTACTGATGGAATCAGAAGGCTTATTGAGTTCAACCCTCACACCTTTTTCACCTGCAAGGGAAAAAAAAAAAAAATTCATTCATTCATTAAGCACCAGAGAGCATCTGTTATTCTGATACTGCTTCCCACTGAGCTCCTAACAGTGTGCACAATGCCTCAGCTTTGCAAACACACATCATCTGAAAACTACTGTACTCGCTACCCCACAGCATTGTTATAATGAACGCGTTACTCTGAACTGGTAAACCTTTAAAGGGAAAAGCCATTCTCTACAGAGATAATTTTACCTCCTTTTACTTTAAAAGCAATTTGAATTGCTATAAAATAGTGTGTTCAGCGTCACTGAAAGCACCCCACTAGGGTTCTGCCACAAATAATAACTTTAAAAATACATAGAAAAAGCAATGCACATCCAATTTTGTAATTTTACAAAAGGCTGATGTGGGATTATCAATGGCTCATGAAAATACAGCGAATCAGTCATGTGAGCACTGAGCAGACTTTTGGAGCTGTAAGGTAGGGTTAAAGAAAAGAGAGAAGTGGTCCATCCGATGGAAAACTAAGACCCCCTACTCTCAGGAGGCAGTTTGGGATGGGAATTGGGGATGGGTGGGGCTGGCATCCTGAAGGATCTTCAGATTCGGTTCAAGTGTGTTGATTTATGGACACCACTGGCTGGCAGGGACGGGCTCGACACGCCTGTTTGACTTTTGGTTTCGGCATTTCAATTCATCTCCTTTGTATTCATTTTCTTCATGTCCACATTCAACGTGGAAGACCCGGATATTCCTTAGAGCATGTACATTTAAAAAGGGAAGGGTATTTATTGACTTCCTTCTAATGGGAGAATGAGAGGAAGCCAGATGGCAGTTAAGTTGGGCAAGTTGGGCAGCCGGTGACTGGAAAGGGTAATCACAGAAAAACTCAGCTTGTATTTGAATCATTTGCTCAGGTTTCTTGCCTCAAACTTTCCTCATCTTTGGACAATGTTGTTCGTTAAAGAGAACAATGAAGATGACTTGAGAGAAGTCCTCTTTTACATAAGGGAATTAAGGAATCTGACAAAAACAAGGAGCAAGTCTTTGTGGAGTTAATAAAGACCGTGTTTGCGCTCACGGCCAGCACCGCGGGACTGCGGGGCACCTGCCTTGCGGGATACCCTGGCCCCAAATAACGTTTACCTGTTAGATATTTTACTTTAGCTCGTGCTCTCTCATCTGCATCAAAATACCAAACAGTTATTGCGTACCTAAAAGAAAATTTAGAATAGGGTAAGAATGATCACACTGGGGAAAAAATAGTGGTATGCTCTTGCAATGGTCTATTAAAACGTGTAATGCCAAACAATGCCTCGACTGGATGTGTCAGAGGATAACTGAGCGCAGTAACAACCCACCTCTCCAGGAACCTCGACGCTCAAGAGTGCAGCAGAGAACCAGGAATAGCCAAAATGGATGTTGCAAAGTTGAGGAGTTTTTAGGGTTTTCTTAATACCTACTTAACCGGCTTGCTTATCTGTTTTGCGACCCCACAGCAGATCAGAAACAGACAGGAAGAAAGGAAAAGAACGGCCCCGGCAGAAAAAGCACAGTATCACTAGCACAAGTTCTCAAAGAAGAGAAGAGAAGCAGAAGAGGACCCGAGGCCGGGGCCCTGTGGCGAACGGGAGGGCTCACAGTTCCAACAGCTTCTGAGGACATCACTGTAGGACAGCAAAGACCAACAGTGGAGGTTTGTAATTTTATAACCTGGTGTCATCAAGAAAGAGTTAAATTATGCTTAGAGTTTTGGGGATTTTTATCAAAATAATTACACTGTGTTTGACATTTAAAGTTTATTTAGCTAAACTTTATTCCTCTGAAAATTTCACTTATTTGGAACAGTTCGTTCCACAAATAAAGGAAGACTCTCTTCTTTATTAAATACTACAAAGCACACAGTTACAATCCTGGTCCCAATAATGGGGGAAGTGTACATACACCATAGGAAGTAAAAACACACTATACATGGGAATTCCTTAGAACACAACAGTTAGTTAAAGTATCTTGCAGATTCTGGCCAGTGTTCCCTGGGGCCGGGGCGGGGGGGTGGGCAACACTGGTCGAATGAAGAGCCCTACAATGTGACAGACCTGAATCAGGAAGGAGTCAAAGGCAGAGTAGAGTCAGAGCCTGGAAGTCTGGACAAATAGGGAAAGTGAGGCCCACAGATCACTCAGCTGCTGAGTGATGACACTGAGGTCAAAGTCTGGCCTCCTGACTTCCAGATTCTGCTCCTTCCATGTAGCCTCTTCTATTTTCCCAGGTGGCCTTGGGAATGGGAAAGGGGCACAGAGAGATAATTTTCTCTCTTTTGCCCATGCCCCAAACTTTCAGTTACTTAGTAATTAAAGTCTTGAACTTGAACAACCTTGACCTTTCTCCCAGAGCTTCCCTAACACTGTCATAACTCCCTGCTTCTGGTCATTCTGGGCCTGGCTGAGCTCCCCTCTTCACTGTGAAACCTGGCCCATCTATTCCATCTATTCCAATTAACACCATTTTCTCCCTCCTCTGAGTCTTGTAGTATCTATCCTCCACAGTTGTCTGGCATTTACTACCTAAAAATGTTCATTATTTATTTATTTAGAAATGATACAAGCAGACCATACTCAAGATTCCACAAAAGGGAGGGTCTATGAAGCAGGTTCTAGGTCAAAAAGGGTTTTAAAGAAACAGCAGGGGCAGAGATGGGCACTGGGATGCCGGGAAGAGAGATGGGGGATTTAGGATGGCACATCATGTGATGGGACAGGATCCCCCCCTGGTTTCCATTCATGGCTTCTTTGGATCTCTAGCCACAAACTACTCAGCTTCCTGCCCACTATGTGAATTAGGGTTAAAGGCAACATAACTCAGGAAGAAGCAAGTTATAAAGGAGTGCCTGGCTGGCTTAGTTGGTAGAGCATGTGACTCTTCATCTTGGGGGTCACAAGTTTGAGCCCCATGTTGGGTGGAAGGAAGGAAGAAAAAAAGAAAGAAAGTAAAGGAAAGGAAGAAAAGAAGGAAAAGAACAGAACCAAGAAAAAAGAAAGGTGACAATAAAGTCTTTGGAATTCGAACCTCCCTGGGGCTGGCCCGTGCCTCATACCACCAGGAAAAGCCAGCTCTTCTCCTGGGCTGACTATGGCTAAGCCTCTTCTCACCAGACCTAACAACTGCAGGCCCATAACTCACTAGCACAAGATTCAAAGTCCCTTCTATAATGAAAAATAGGTATTTACAAAATAGTGCAATTTTTCTACAAATATTTATAACAATGTCTGCAACATCTTCTAGTTTAAGAGTCTTAACATTTCAATGTAGAAAGCGTCATAAAGTATAATAAGGCTCCTAGATGCTTATTATTAAAGCTAACGCATTATTTTTCTAACATTAACTCCCCCACGTGGCAACCTTTCTTTTTCCCTCTTCATTTCTACTCTCCAGGTGCCTTGTTTTTCTGCTTTGTTTAATTTTCCTACATTATCCCTTTCATTTTCTTCTCTCACTGCCTTTGAAAAGCTGTCCTTTCCTTTCTCTGTTGAATCTTTCTGTCCCCCAAGTGAATCCACTCACAGAATCAGAACGGATTATAGTCAGAGACGCACAAAATAATGAGACAGGCTGGAGGAAGGAGAGGACCTGTACTTCCATTTCTTACCCCAAATGGAAGTGGTTATGCAAAGTCACAAACTTTTAGCGCTAACTGGGAATAAATCATAAATAAAATTATTCAAATTAAAATAGTTATGACTGAAGCGTTATGATAAAGGTAACTAAAGAACAGGAAGATACTCACTAGAAAACTCTCAAGTATATCCTACCTATCCCCCTCCTCTCCTACCATAGTCTTTACCAATTTTTCTTAAAAGGAATACTACACCTTGTAGAATATGCTGGTTGTACTTCATGAGGGTTGCGACGGTCAGACCAGAAAAACAGCAGTCTATCAAATTTGGGTTCAATGTCAGCAAACTGGGCTTTGCCTTCTGGAAAAATTCGAAGTATACCTCCACTTACCTATGGAAAAGAGCCAAATATGTGAGTATGAGAGCAAGAACGCTACAAAATGAAATTTAGGGAGGAAAAAAAGACCATTTCAGAATCAAAATTCTTAGTTGGATTATTCACAAATGTATCTCAAATAACAAGGTATGAAGAGGAGTTGAGATTCCAAGCACATGCACTGATACAAGGAAAAATTCATTTCTTGTTTTAGGGATTTCTGTAACTACTGATGAAACAGAAGTATTATCTGAATTCAAAAGGCTTAAAATGACACTTAGAAACAAGTTGTAAAAACTAGTACATGTTTCTTATGTAGGGATACTTATGATGTGCTTAATTAGCCTATTCTTTAAAAATGTGTCCGTTTCAAATCATCTTGATAGATTACTCTAAATGGTGATGTCAAATAAACAGTTTATTGTATTTTAAGGTTCAACAGTAATTAATAAGACAGTCACAAGTTTAATGCCTCTTACTTAAAGAATTCAACTAGGGACGCCTGGGTGGCTCAGTCAGTTAAGCATCTGCCTTTGGCTCAGGTCATGATCCCAGGGTCCTGGGATCGAGTCCCCATGGAGCAGGGAGCCTGTTTCTCCCTCTGCCTCTCTCTCTGTCTCTCATGAATAAATAAAATCTTTAAAAAAAAAAAAATAATGAATTCAACTTCATCAGTACAAAGTGTCCTCATTTATTGTCACCACCATCATCACTGTGGTCGTTATTAGAGACTATAGCTCTCCCTTTCTAGACTGCACCTGACACATTGAAGGCTACCTGTTTACAGAACTGGATTCCATCCAGAAAGGATAATTACTATTTATCCCAATACACATCCATCTCTATTGGGGATTAGATGGACTCACCTATTCATTCTAATACAGACTGAGTATTCTGGGACCTGGGGTGGACCCCGGGTACAGAGTAGGGAATAACATACACCGATGTGGGCCTCATGGTATTTACAATCTGGGGGGCGTTAAAGCGAGGCCAAACCCACCCACAACTGAGTAGCCCTTCACCCTTGAAGAACTAAACTTCTAAGCAGGTAGATGCTTAAATTGAAAGGAACTTTAATACTTAATCAAGACATCATGGAGGCTGAGCCTAGAATCTGTAGTTAGGCAAGCTGTTTATCAGGCTCATCCTTAAGTTAAATTCAAGCTACTTGTACCCTTGCCCACCTTCCTCAGGTTCTGTTCAGATTGATTCCCACGGCACTCATGCAAACATCTAAAGAATCTCTAGACTGTGACCAAGAACACATCCTTTTCTTCTCCCTGACCTCTGACTGGAGTCACTGGGAATATCACAGGTGATCTGCTGGAAATGTTTAAAAAGAGATAATTAAAGCTTCCAATCTTCCTCTGGGAAACATTCCCTGACCCGCCCAGGCGGTCCCACAGCAATCTGTCCTGCCTGCACTGGGCCTAACCAGTTGTCACTGTTAATCTATTGATCTGTACCTTCCACTAGATCCCAGGCTCTATGAAGGCTATTTCTATTTCTGCTCTATCTCCAGCACCCAGAATGATGTCTGGCACACTGCACATATTCAGTGCAATCTTGCAAAGAAGTTTTCAGTTCTACATACAAAAATACTAATAAGGACTTTTTTCAGCTTATGTACTAATTTAAAAACTATGTATTAATGACCCTGGCTAGGTCGGATCAAAATTAAAAGATCAGCCTAGAAAGAACCTAACAAAATACAGAAGTTAGGAGTTGCTCAAACATATTTCTAGCTTTCAAGATACTCACAAAATTGGGAAAAAAAATAAATTTTTAGAGCACCTGGGTGGCTCAGTCGTTAAGCGTCTGCCTTTGGCTCAGGTCATGATCCCAGGGTCCTGGGATTAAGCCCCACATCGGGCTCCCTGCTCCTCAGGAAGCCTGCTTCTCCCTCTCCCACTCCCCCTGCTTGTGTTCCCCCTCTCGCTGTGTCTCTATCAAATAAATAAAATCTTAAAAAAATAAAAAAATAAATAAATTTTTAAGTTTTAACCAAAATTATACCGTTTTGTGCATTAGGCTCAAGGCAAATGACCAGATTTATGTCTCTATTTTAAACTTTGAAAGCTATAACGGAAAGACCATGCTTGTTAACAGAATGCCTTGAAATTTACTTAATCTACTTAGCAGTAAAACTTACCTCCCTTTTGAACTCGGACAGAGGAGAATCTTTAAATCAGTATGACACAGAAAGAGCACGATGAGCATATCCTAAGTTTTAGGACAGGACTAGGTTTTTACATATTTAAGACTTGGTGGTTTTCATTTCTGTGTATAGGTTTGTGTGGCGGGGAAGTGTTTTTTTTTTTTAAGATTTTATTTATTTATTTGACAGAGAGAGAGATAGCGAGAGAGGGAACACAATCCCAGCACTCCGGGATCGTGACCTGAGCCGAAGGCAGACGCTTAACGACTGAGCCACCCAGGCGCCCCGCGGGGAAGTGTTTTAAAGGTTATTTGGTTTTTAAAAATTGCCCTGGCTACACAGGTGTGTTCATGCTGTGAAAATCCACAGGGCTATACATTGTGTTCACTTTTCTATTTGAATATTTTGCTTCAATAAAAGTAAATAAGGATTTCTAAAAATCAACCAAAAATTAGTTTAGACAACCTCCAAAGCAGTAAGAAAGCATGACATACTTCTGAACTTTCAATCATTTAAACTCAAGTGAAACTCAGGCCAATATTAAGGAAATAAATATTTAAAACAAGAGAAAATTAAATGTATTGTACACTCTAATTGGTTTTAAAGGATTTGTCAGTATTGATAAACTTCTAGTTTTTTTCCATAATCAGGAAAAGAAGGAATCCTGCCTCCAATATTCGATTCAATAACCGAATGCCAGATAAGATCTCTGCAACAGGAATAAGTAGGAAATAATCCACAATAGTTGTTTATATATAATCTCTCTTAAAAGCCATTATAAAGCAATTATTCGCAGAGGAGTTTTTTTTTTTATTAAAGCTATTAAAAGGTGTATATTTTAATGAAATACATTTTGGTAACAGTTAAATTCTGGGGGGGCACCTGGCTGGCTCAGTCGGTGGAGCATGCGACTCTTGATCTCGGAGTCGTGAGTTCGAGCCCCACGTTGGGTGTAGAGCTTACTTAAAAAACAAAACAAAACAAAACAACAACAAATAAAAAAGGTTAAATTTGGATGCATGCCTCAATATCTGAAAATAAGGGAATCCACTTTTTGAGATAATATTATTATGTTTCACTTTACAAAGATCCACTCCTAATACCCAAAACTGAAACAAATCTAAGAAATTTTTAACTATTCCATGTGTTAAAGTAAAGACAGTCTCCCTAAGAGGAGTATGAGTCTTAATAGCTATGGGGGAAAAAATAAATGGTCAATTAAGTTGCATACCTTGGCATCCCAGTCTTTATTAAGATAATATATACACGTCACACATCTTCCATCTCCATTTGGATTATCAACATGACGTACATAACCCGTTCCATTGCCTGGATAACAAGCAACCATGGCCTGTAATAATAATGATGATGATTTTAAAAGTCTATACATAGATGAATAAAAAAGGCAAAACAGCATATAAAAGAAATCTCTGATTTTTGGCTACTCCTACACTTAAATTCTTCTAAATAAAAATCATATTTTGTAGATAAGAAGAGGCAAAGATAGCCTATGTTGACACTTATAAAGAATACAAGGGTAGGTTGGTGAATAATCCAAGGCCTGGTGAGGTCTGCCTAATGGTGAAGGGAAAAACCCACATGGGAGAATCAGAGGCCAGAAGGATTGCAGGACACACTTTCAGGATCTTTATTCACACTGATGATCAAGATCAAGTGAGTTTTTGTTCTGCTCCATGGGAGGCTCTGTCCTTCCTGAGCTTCCTGCAGACAGAACACCTGCATTACTATCTGACAGCCAAATACCTCATCTGACACTGTCTCTGAATTTAGAAGGTCAACTTCAAATATTCACTCACTTAATTTCCATGATTTAAAAAAAAGGCTTACATGACAAATTAGCATGTGACTAATTCCTCTTCAAACCAGAAAATAATTTTTTGCTCACATTATAACAAGATGTAGTTCAGAAGATTGTTTGGTATTAAGCATGAAGGTGCAAGAGAGGTCCAAAATAAAAAGCACCAGAAGAACGCACGTGTTCTAGAACTGTAGTACATACTAACTGACTGAAACTAGAAAGAGTGATTTCACAGAAAAAAACCTCAGGAATTATGAAGAAAACAAAAACAAAGATGATCAAGGTTACCACTTATTCCTGAAATCTTTTATTTCTCCAATTTCTTCATGTATTGAAGTCAACAGGTCAGTATTAATGTCAGTGAATCAGTATAAAGCTATCAAACAGTAATGAGATTACATCATTATTTAAGATAAAAGGCAAATGCTAATTTTTAAAATTCATATTCAACTGATTAGTGAATAAGTAACTCAGTATTCCACCTCTGAGAGACTAGGAAGCATTTTAAACCTGAAAGCTTAAAAAAAAAAATCACATTTTCCTAGACACCCTGGACCTACTGCTTTTTCAGAAGCAGAATTTTTGGTGTATATTCATATGTCTCTATTTTTCCTGATTCCAGATAGACTTAAATGCTTTCTTTTGGGACTTGAGGTTGTTAATAACAGGCAGAATAGCATGGGTTTAGTGGATTTAATAATGCTCAATAAAAGATAAACAATTCCCTTGTCACTAGCTGCTAATGTAAGGCACATGCAACAGACCTTGAACAGGAACTATAAGATACCAGTTTAACAGAGCAATTAACCCACCTATAATTAATAAAGACAATTATTGTAAATTACATGATACAGTCTTATCCACAAAAAGAATGAAAAACAAAAAACCCCAAAAACACAAAAACCAAAAAACCCAACCTGAACTCTTCTCTAAAGTGGTCTCATCTCGAAAAAGTTCACTCAGGCGTCTCCAACTATCTGGTAACCTCAGAATCTCTTGTGCAAAGAACAAAGGGGAAAATCTGTCTTTGTTCATCCACCCCACTCCACCCCACCCCATCCCATCCATCCCATAGCAAACACCTCCTGAGCACCAGCTATGTATCTGAAAGGCCTTGGTGGGAAGAGAGGGGGGCAGTGACTACAATGATGAACAAAACAGAGTCCCTTGTTTTTATTTATTAGGGAACCTAGCATGGTGAAATAACCTATAAACAAACATGTATAATACACTGTTAGGTAGTTATCTTTTCATAAAGTTGAAGGATATAGAAAACAACAGGATGAATTCTAGAACAGTGGTCAAGGAAGACCTATGTGAGGGGCTCACACTGAGCAGGGACTTCAGTGAAGGGAGTGGCAGGTTGTGCAAGTATCTGTGGGGTCAGCATTTCCGGCTGAGGGAAAATGAGAGCAAAGGCAGAAGTGGGTGGGCCAAGTGGTAAAGCACCGCAGGCCAGCAGGACTGAATGAGCAAGGGCAAACCACTGGAGGGCTCAGCAAGCCCTGGTCAGGACTTTGGATACTGTTTTAAAAGTGACAGGAAGCCAACGGAGATCAATGATCAATGGAGATCAATGATCAATGTTTTAAGAAAGTAAGTTTCAACTCTGTATGAATAAAAACTAACAAGTGCAATAACCTCCGTATCACCCACTACCTAGTATTTTTTGGATGTTGACTATTTGCCACGCACTATTTTAAGTAATTTGTGTGTACTAACTCATCTGGCACAACCACATGAGGTAAAAAGTATCATCATCCTCATCTTCATTTAACTGTTAAGGAAACTGAGGCCCTGGGGGCGCCTGGGTGGCTCAGTTGGTTAAGCGTCTGCCTTCGGCTCAGGTCATGATCTCAGGGTTCTGGGATCGCCCTGCTTCGGGCTCCCTGCTCGGGGAGGGGGGAGCCCGTTTCTCCCTCTCCCTCTACCCCCCCCCCACCCATGCTCTCTCTCGCTCTGTCTCAAATAAATAAATTAAACCTTAAAAAAAAGGAAACCAAGGCCCAGAAAGGCTCATTAACGTTCTCAATGTCTATGACTGTAGAGGCAGGTAGGAATGCAGGCAATGTAGTTTCAGAACCCACATAACCGCTACTCCAGACTGTGGGCGGGATGGAGAGAGAGAAGGGGGGCTGGCTGGCTACTGCAGTTTCTAGGAGAGTAACACAAAGGAGGCCTGCCCAGGGCGGCAAAGTGGGGAGAATTCTGAAGGCAGAAAACCAACGTGACCCACTCATGGATTGGAAGTGGAGAGTAAGAAGAGTCAAGGACGACTCTGAGGTTTTCTCCCTATGGAATGGAATGGATGGGGTTAATGCTTTCCAAACATGGAAAGACGAGGTGAAGGAGTGGTTTTAATAACACGCATCATGGAGGAAAGGAGTTTCTCAGCAATGGTCGTGAGGAGCCAGACACCCCAGAGCAGAACAAAACTGCAGACATCAGGATTATGCCTCAACATGGGATCTGTCTGTATCAGTCACCTTGGGTGACATGGTGGTACCCAGGGTGGCGACTGGTGGAGGGATGCAGTGAAATGAGAAGAGCCCAAACAAGCAGATTCTGCCCCAACCTTCAACTAGGGGCAGCATTTAACTGCAAGCTGGTACATAACTGTGAGGGAAGCAAGACAGGAGTAAGAGTCCCAGAAGATGGCCAGACAAGCCCCTCCAGCCATACAAGGACAGACTACAGAAGGACAGAGCCTAAGCACACCCAGAAAAGACAGGCTATCACAGAAAATCTAGAACCAGGGGGCCACACTCCTAGAGTTCTGGGGAAAGAGAAACCCTGTAGGAAACCTGCAAAGGTTTGGAAGGGTCATGAATTTATTCAAGTAACGCATGGCCCAATAATGACACAGTGACACTGCATTTAGTAACTGATTCATGTACCGAGACTCCTCTCCATTTGGACTACAGCAAACATAAAAAAGGTATTTCTCCAGGTATGGGGATTAAGGAGTGCATTTGTCGTGATGAGCACCGGGTGATGTATGAAGTGCTGAAACTAAGGTAACCCTGTATGTTAACTAACTGAAATTAAAATCAAAACTTAAAAAAAAGGGGGGGGTCATTTCTCTAAGTCTCATGAAATGTGGCAGTGATGAAGTTTACAACCAGTATTCACATTTAAACAGTTATCCTTAGCTATGATCTGCATCATCAAAATTTTAAAGTTCCTTAAATGTAACACAGCTTTTCCAGTTTTGAAATAATATTCATGCTCTGCTTCTTAATTGGTAATTTTGTTTTCCTGGTGCATTTTATATATATTTGTGTAAAGAAGACTCTGACGTTGCTGTTCTTGTTTTGCTTGCTTTTAATATGCAACTCACATACTCTTATTCACAATACTTTAGTAAATTCAGTTTATTTTCTATTAACTCCTTGGTAAAGCAACTAATAACCATTCATTCTCTACTCATAAGGTGCTGCTTGAGCATCTTATTAGTTTAGATGTCATTGACAGCATTAAAAAATATTTATGGCATTAACAGGAACTTAAATAAAAACTTTTAAAAAAAGAATGGAAAAAACTATTTATGGCATACCTACCATATCACCCTACAACAAGGGCTGCTATGGTATCAGTCTGAAAGGACTTAACTGGAAAGAAAAGAAAAAAGTGGGCACACACAAAACAAATGATGAACTGAGTAGTATAAAAAATAAAAAGAATTAGAAAAAAAAGGAAGTTTTCGTGTGGGATAAAATAAAATAAAGGGACGAGGCTTTGAGCTACATATAATACCTAAGGTTATCTTTAAAGAACAGATGTGATTTGATAAAGGTGAAGGGAAGAAAAGCAAAGTGTCTGAAGATTACAAATACAGCAAACAGTTAAGTGACAGTGGGGTAGCTTTTAAGAAGGCAGCTTCTTTATTCTAGGATTTATATGGAAGATATTATAAAGCACACTGCTTTGGTCTGCATGTGTGTACCCCCAGATTCATTTGTTGAAATCCTAACCCCTAAAGATGATGGCAACAGGAGGGGCCTCTGGGAAGTGCTAAGGTAATAAGGTAATGAGGCGCTAAGGTAATGAGGTAAGGTAATGTGGAGCCCTCAGGAATGGGATTAGTGTCTTATAAAAGAGGCTCTGGAGGGATCCCTGCCCTTCTAACCATGGGAAGACACAGTGGGAAGTCGATGGCCACGAGCCAGGAAGAAGGCCCTCACCAGAAGGCATGGAAACCTTGATCTTGGACTTTTCAGCCTCCAGGACTGTGATAATTTCTGTGGTTTGTAAGCTACCCAATCTGGGGTTTTTTGTTGTTGTTTTAATAGCAGCCCAAATGGACTAAGCCACATCTATAAAAGATAAAATTGTTCCAACAGATTTACATTAGATGTACCAGTTCTAAGGATAAGGAAATGCATTAATGTCTATCAAGAAAAATTGAAATGAGACTTATTAGGGATTAAAGTGATACTCCCTGGCTGTCCTTCTGTCCTTTCCCAGAAGAAGCAACACCAGAAATGACTGCACTCCTCTAAGGTTTGGGGTAGAGGACAGCAGAAGAATCT